CCATGTCATTTTCCAACCAAAAAAAAACATATTATTTTGTTATTGGTTTATTTTGTTTTGTTCCTAATTTATATTTTCCAATTTTTAATTTTGTGTTTTTAGTTGGTACTGATGTTGGTACAGTTTTTCAGATTTGACCGGTCTGCACCGGCCACCGAGTCGTTTCAAAATTAACCGGTTAATAAAATCGAAGCGTTTCTAAATTAACCGGTCTTTTGGCCCGGTTTATGACTGATCAATGGCTGGGTAATTGCATCTGCGAGCGAAAAGAGCAAATTTTGACGGTCGTCACGTGATTACTTATCTTTTTTTACGTGTCATATCACGTGAAATCTGTGAAATTTTGCTCATTTTGCTTGCATATGCAATTATACCGAACTCAGCCAATGATAATACTCATTTACCGCATCCACCCGGTTCGGTCCGGTATAGGGCATGTCCATGTGACGTCACAAATGAGTTTGACAGTCGCCCTGAGGTAAAACAAATCATTTATTTACATTCGTGTAGATTAGGCCGGTTATGTTTTATGCGTTTTTCACAGCTTTTTTACAAGTTTTTGTGTTATTTTGTTCTAAAAAAGTTAGAGTGGAGTGTGTGTGTTCCAGTCTATGTGGTTTTTTATCTAAAAGTTTGCTAGGTTTTCCTATAATGGATTAATTTCAGGTTTTTTCCAACAAATATCAAAACCAATAAGTGTCACAAGAACAAATATATAAGTATAGTTACTCTATATTCAATCTATTTTTCTGTCAGATTTCCTCTTTTAAGAACAATAATCAATTTTTCTCTTCTTTCTTGAGCTAACAAATCAAACCTCCCATTGTTATTTAAAACTGATGGAAACCTATGGAAGGATATTGTATTCCTTGCGCTATACTGCCACAATTAACAACTAAACAAACTGTAGGCATGTCCAAGAAACTTCTGGATCACACAAAAAAAATCTAACTAAAAACTTAAAAAACACTGTAAATTATATCTTTGTTTTACCTCAAGGCGACTGTCAATAGTGTCAAACTGTCAGATCATGTACTTGCCCTATTGGGCACTTTCCAAATTTGACCAATAAATTGACCGGTTAAATGAACCGGTAGCTGTCAAAAAATTCCGGTAAAAGTTAGGTGTAAGTCCGGTCACAAGATTTTTCTGATGCATTTTGGAACGCTTTGGTGTGGTAAAGTTTGGTTGTGACCTCTTGTGACGGTTGTTCTGAGACAATTTAACGAACGACTGCCGATATCTATTCAAAGCAACTGATGTAAGGTATGTCAAAAAAAAAGTGTCAAAAAGTTCCAACCGAAAAAACCGACAAAAATTCCCGGTGGATACGGTGCCTCACCGGATTTACAGTGACTCTATTACCCACAGTAGCAACAATTGCTGTCTTATTTTTGATTGGTTCTAAAATCCCATATATTTATATTGAAAACGCGACCATCTTGTTCCCACCTATTGCTTATTTAAAATATGAATATATGGGATTTGGGTGAACATCCATCATAACACATGAAAAACAACGTATTTGATGGACCTAATAATAGTTATCAAATACGTCGATTTCAATTTTTTATGATAGATGTCCATTTAAATCCTATATATTAATATTTAAGAGTAACAAGAGGTTGGGAACAAAATGGTGGCGCCGGTGGCGGGATCTCTATTGTCGCCACTGTATGTATAGGTTTATGCCACTGTAACCGGATTCACACTGTTTCAACCGGCAGAAAGTCGGTACATTTTGGAACGGTTTGGTGAGTCAACTATTAAACCGGTCTCGCACCGGTTCAGAAACCGGTGAATTTTGGAAAGTGCCCATTCTCGCTCTCAAAAACGCTCACCGCTTTTCAGTCGCTCGACACTTCTAATGTAAATTTACATTAGAAGTGCCGAGCGACCAAAAAGCGGTGAACGTTTTCGAGAACGAGAATACCGGAGGTTTTTTAGTTGGAATTCTCGCGAGTAGGTAGGATTGACATATCTGCATCACTGTACGCACGGCTGTAGAAAATTTTATACAGGTAGGATTCAACCGTCAAAAAAGGTAAATTTTTTTTTATGGCATCTCTTTTTTTTTCGTTAAAAAAAACAGTAGGCCTTTTCGGTACCTAATGCTGATCCGATTAACTGTTTCACAGATGATGTACTTTGTCTCTTTTCAATCGTGTTAAATAAAGAAAGATAAAAAACAAACTGCTGGTGATCGGGTTGACCGGATTAGGGTTTCCCCAATGAACTATAGCTAAAAACTGGAATGTGCACACATTGCCATATCTGCCACAAAAATGAAGCCATGTAAGACAGATGCCACCAATGAACTATAGTCAAAAACTGGAATGCGCACACATTGCCATATCCGCCAAAAAAATGTAGCTATGAAAGACAGATGCCACAGAGGGGAATGTTGTTTTTTTCTGTTGCTCGCTGACATATGACGTTTTCGAAAGTTTTGTCATATTTCCCTTCACAGGTTTCATCGATTGGAATACGTGTTGGAAGCAATTTTCGCCATTTAACATAATGAGTGCGACAAAAACAGGTATCCCCTCCGCAGCAGCGGCACTAGGCTTCAGGTTCGTCAATATGTGTTAGCATTCCAGTTTTTGGTTATAGTTCATTGGATGCCACAAAGGGGAATGTTGTTTTTTTCTGTTGCTCGCTGACATATGACGTTTTCGAAAGTTTTGGCATATTTCCCTTCACAGGTTTCATCAATTGGAATAGGTGTTGGAAGCAATTTTCGCCATTTAACATAATTAGTGCGACAAAAACAGGTATCCCCTCCGCAGCAGCCGCACTAGGGTTCACATTCGTCCTTATGTGTTAGTATTCCAGTTTTTGGTTATAGTTCATTGGGTTTCCCAAAAGGCCTTAATAAGGGCCCCATACACTAGGATGAAACACGACGGTTTTCACCGCCACGATGAAACACGTCGTTCTAAAACCGAAATGTGTAATAGAAAAACACGACGGTTTTCTACAGGACCCCACAGACTACGATAAAACACGACGGTTTTCATCGCCACGATGAAACACGTCGTTCCAAAACCGAAGTGTGTGGTAGAAAACCGTCGTGTTTCATCGTCGGTTTACAATTCAGTCCGAGCTTTATTTTTGGCACAACGGTTCAGCATTTCGTACACTCGAACGGTTTTCTACCACACACTTCGGTTTTGGAACGACGTGTTTCATCGTGGCGGTGAAAACCGTCGTGTTTCAACGTAGTGTATGGGGCCCTTAATAGAAAAACACGACGGTTTTCTACAGGACCCCACAGACTACGATAAAACACGACGGTTTTCATCGCCACGATGAAACACGTCGTTCCAAAACCGAAGTGTGTGGTAGAAAACCGTCGTGTTTCATCGTCGGTTTACAATTCAGTCCGAGCTTTATTTTTGGCACAACGGTTCAGCATTTCGTACACTCGAACGGTTTTCTACCACACACTTCGGTTTTGGAACGACGTGTGTCATCGTGGCGGTGAAAACCGTCGTGTTTTATCGTAGTCTGTGGGGTCCTGTAGAAAACCGTCGTGTTTTTCTATTACACACTTCGGTTTTAGAACGACGTGTTTCATCGTGGCGGTGAAAACCGTCGTGTTTCATCGTAGTGTATGGGGCCCTTTATATGTGTGGAAAGTTGGGTAGCTGTAGCTACAGTGACTCTACTGTGACTCTATTACCACAGTGGCGACAATTGCTATCTTATTTTTCATTGGTTCTAAAATCCCATATATTTATATTGAAAACGCCGCCATCTTGTTCCCAACCTCTTGTTACTTTTAAATATGAATATATGGGATTTAGGTGAACATCCATCATAAATCATGTAAAACAATATATTTGATGGACCTAATAATAATCATCAAATACGTGGATTTAAATTTTTTATGATAGATGTCCATTTGAATCCTATATATTAATATTTAAAAGTAACAAGAGGTTGCGAACAAGATGGCGGCGGGACCTCTATTGTCGCCACTGTATGTATAGGTTTATTTAGCCACTGTAAGTGACTCTGCTGTAGCTAGAGTTTGGTTGAAAACAGCAAACTTTCCTTTCACACACTGTAGGCAGGAAGTGGCGTCAAATTTTAAAAAATTTAACAATGCAAAATGCAAGCTTGTTTAGAAATAGTATATTACATTACTAGTGTAGAAAGTGACAAATTTCACACGAGTGTTTTTTCGCGCGAGGCGGTAGCCGAGTGCGAAAATCACACGAGTGTATGAAAGACGCTTTCTCACAAGTGATGTACACCATTTTTCCTAGGACCAGAAACCAATTTACACCAATATTCTCTTATTTTATTTATTTTTTTCATTTTCAACACACGTCCTGAAAGTACTTTCAATACACATATTGAAAGTACATTGTGATGTCAAATGTTAATCACAAATAATGTCAACAGTATTTTCCACACGTTTGTACGGAAAGTACTTGAAGCACGCGTATTGAAAGTATTTTCAGCACGCGTGTGATATTTAGCACTTTCCAAAGAACCAACTAGTGCGGATTTTGTCATTTTCGTATGTGGTCGTAGGAAAAAAATTATAAAGCTACACTACAAAATACAAAATCGAAAAGCGCATCTTGATATTTATTTTTTTCCTCATAAATTACAGTTTCCTGTAATATTATTTTGGTGGTATTCGAATTTTATACAGTGACTCAAGGTTATTTTCAATATGAACGCATAGGATTTTAAAGAGCAAGAATATGGCGGAAGGGTGGTGTCTTACCTATCTCAATCTCAATATGTTTTTTTACCAAGGATGTGTTTTACCTCTATATTCCTATTTATTTAAAATTAGCAAGAATATGGCAGCCTCTATTGTCGCCACTGTAAACGGCTTTCTTTGAAAAGTTTATTGAGTCACTGTAGAATTTTATGAATGAATGCGACCTCTGGTGGAATAAGAACTATCCAAAGACTTTATTTTACGTGCCCGCCAATTTCTCGAAATCTGACAACCAACAATACACCATTCACTTTGCGCACGTGCTGTCACAACAAAAGCAAAGAAAATTCAACCAAAAACAAAATGGACTCTTGTTTTCATAAGAGTTTCTGTTTATAAATATTCGTTTTTTGGTGAAAAGGTAGGCGAATTTTCCTAATTTACTTCGTGTAATCTCAAGTTGCAACGTGTAACTTACTATTGAAAATGTAGCTGTTCCAAAAATATGCGTAATTAAGGTTGAAAACCGTGTTTTAATCCATAGACGCTAGGGTCAAAATCTAACCAAAGCATGTCTTGCGAATCTTGTGATTATGAAAATAAAATGCTTTTTTTAGTGCTGGAATGAGTGATTGTGGAAATTGCTTGGTAAAGGTGGAAGTGCTTTAAAGAACTCATTAGTAAATATCTATAAGTAGTTTTTCTATATAAGTTAGATAGAGCCTATTATTAATTTGGGGTTGTTGCCCCCCTAGACCGTAATTACCGTTTAGATGCTGTTGTTAAGCAATAGCCAAAAGACTTTATAATTTATAATAGTACTAATAGGCTATTTGAAACAAATTTTCTAGATGTGGAACTGTAATCACAAAGTCATTCGGTAATCGTCTAATCTCATTTAAACTTTACAATGCATGTTTGTTAACTCATCCGGATAACAAATTTATCAGCTCCAACTGTAAGTAGATTAAATTTGCACTGCAACTTGGAATTTTTGAATGCAATACTGCAATCAGCATTATTGGATCACGAGGCTGTTTTGTTGTCATGTTCTTTTGACTTCCGTTGTTGTAGAAAAACCCCTTGCAAGGCAGAGTTTTTGGAAGGAAAAATTATTAATTAGAAAATTTAGTGAAACTTATACTGCTGTGATATGGGATAGTGTTTTGAGTTGAGGAAACCTGTTTCTAAGTATGCACATACCTAATGTTATTAACAATAGCTTTCCTTCAAGAAATATTTAAAAAAACCTGGTTTACTTCGAGTAGGTACCTATTAAGATTTCTGCAGTGAACCTCAGCTCTTCACTTACTTACAGTTTGAAAGTTTTGTAGTGATATTTTATAACTTATTTCAATAATTAAGAAAATTTACGGAAAGCTCATAATGTTGCCCAAAGGTATTTATCAAGGTATTTATTATAGGGGTGAAATTAGAAAGATAAACAATAAAACTAAAAAGTACCTACTTACTTGAATGAAAAAGTTAGGCAAAACAAATATAAATATTAATCTTAGAAGAATAGATCCTAAGATTCTCAATAACTTCTACTGTCTACTGCACAATTGGCAATCAATAAATTAACTTCAGGATTATTCTAAAAAAGATCATATTGAATATCTGACCAATATTCAGGTTCATGATAGAATTTTTATTGAGTTTACAACAGGGTTGGCAAAAACCTCGGTTTTTCAAAATTTCTATTGGTTTTTTGGGTTTTTTGCAGGTTATTGTGATAGCTTTTGTTTTTTTTTATATGGTTTTTGTGTTTACTTAGGCTAGACAAAATTTTATATTTGTTTCAACCAACAGTTTTGCACCTGAGAAGCTTCAAAATTGAATTTATTATACTCTACAAACCTATCAATTAAGATTTTAATTTAGTAAATATGCTTTATTGTCCAAGAATACAAAAATCTTATTGACAAAGCTTACCTAACATAAATTAAATTTTACAACTAAACCTTGGTTTCAAAATTTTTGCAGTTGAGAAAATTCAAAATTTATCAAACATTGAAAATTTGCCAAAATCCCAAAAATGACATTGAGACAGTTTTTGCTTCACCGCTCCGTTAATTTTCATCCGATTTCAATGGTTTTGCACCTGAGAAGCTTCAAAATTGAATTTATCAAACATTGAAAATTTTCCAAAAATTACATTGAGACTGAGACAGTTTTTGCCTCACAGCTTAGTTAATTTTCATCCGATTTCAGTGTATACTCTGCTCCAATTGAAGCCAATTGAATTCTCTACAAACCTGTTAGTTGAGATTTTAATTATGTTTCAATTATTTATTTACTAGTTTATTAGTACAAATTCTTTTTTCATATATACAGTGCCCGCGGAAAAGTCTGCACCATATGGGAATTTTTTTTATGCTCATCCTTACTTCAAATCGGTTTTCGACATTAGGTTCTGCCTCGGGTTCTGCATGACTGAAAACCAAAAAAATACCTAAAATTTTTGACTCGAGTCTTGCCTCAAATGCCATTTGAAAATTTCAAACAAGGAAAAGTGGCATTTTTATAAAAAATATGAAAAAAATTTATAAGAAAATATTGTTCCAAATGGCATTTAGGAGTAGTTTATAAACAAACAATTTGAAATTTCAATTTGAGAAATCTAAAATTTTCAAAATAGTCTAGAGGCGTATCAAAATTTTAATAGAAATATTTCTTTTTGATGTTTAAACTCTTAATTAGATTATTAAGATTTGGAAAACCCTTAGTCGGATACAAACTAATTATTTTAGAGGAATGGTCGCGAAAGAAATCCTAAAAATATTATTTTTCCGTAGATATTCGAAATTTTTTTTAAAAAAAAAATCTTTTTTTTTTTTCAAAGTAAAAATATCAAATTAGACTAAAAATGTCATTTGGAACAATATTTTCTTATAAATTTTTTTTCTACTTGCGTGCGCAAAGTCATCACTTTGCACACTCATTTGCGTGCGCAAAGTTGAACTTTGCGCACGGAAACTCTTTGCGCACTCATTTTTGTTACGTATAATTACCATAGTTATACTTGATTTTTCAATGCTTTGATGGTTTATGAATAAACTAATATTCAAAATGAAGGGTTTTAGTTGAAATTAATGCTTAGTTAACATGATATTTCCTATCAAAGGTGTCCAAATTGGACCAGCCTGTACTGCTAGGAATTTGTAAAATTTTTGATATTTAAGAGACTCTCATGAAAATATTCTTGCTGATTCTAGAAATTCCAGAAGATGTAAAAAGATATTTGGGGATTTAATTTAAAAGACATTCTGAGGAATTCCAATAGATTTTAAAGGATTTTTGAAGATTTGGATTTGATTGATTTTTCTAATATTTTAACAATTAATTCAAAGTCTACTTTTTTAAGATACTCGAAGAAAAAATATTGTTCCTAACACTTGCGCAAAGTGTCTTTCCCGCACTCAAAGCTTATCCAAACTCCGCTTCGCGTCGTTCGTCTAACTGCTTTTTCGTGCGAGAAAGTATCACTTTGCGCACTTGTTAGGAAAATAACTATTTCATATTTTTTATAAAAATGCCACTTTTCCTTGTTTGAAATTTTCAAATGGCATTTGACAGGTGTGAGGTAAGTCTCTAGTCAAAAATTTTAGGTGTTTTTTTGGTTTTCAGTCATGCAGAACCTAATACCGAAAACTGATTTGAAGTAAGGATGAGCATAAAAAAATTTCCCATATGGTGCAGACTTTTTCGCGGGCACTGTATATGTTACGGTTAATATGCAAACTTGGATAGTTTATAAACTAACCAACTCACTGGCTATTTTGATAGAAAACACAATTTTTACTAAAAAGCAGCTAGTTCGCAAACTAACCAAGAGTCTTGGTTAATTTACTTGAAATTATTGGGAAAACTCAAATAGCTGGTTAGTTTATTTTAATTTAAAACCATATTTTCTAGTAACACAAAATAGCCGAGCCTAGCAATTCTCTGGCTAATTTACAAACAAAGTTAGGTAAAAAAATTTGATGCTTCTTTAATAGATCTGTATAATTAGAAAGCAAATAATACTCAACTTTACAACGAAGGAAATCTGGTAAAATATTAGCTTGTATGGACGATTTGTTTGATATTAGAAGAATCCACCAATCAACTGGGCACGGCTAAAGATAAGTTACAACAAAGCTAATAAATCAAAAATATTTAAATATATAACCCAAACTAACCCAAGAAATTGTAACTTTCTTCCTCGATGGATGTGAGAATTGTAAAAAAGAAAAAAGTAAAAATTTTCATTTTATTCATCTCTAATTTATTGAATAAGAAATACCATTAACATTAAATTTGTGTAAATTAGCCAGAAAATTGATGTGTTAGTTTACAAACTAGCCAAAGGTTTGACTATTTTGTGTTACTAGAAATCATGGTTTTCAAATTAGCCAGGCTGCATTGGATAATTTATAAACTAACCAGCTAATTTAGTTTTCTCAATAATTTCAAGTAAATTAGCCAAGACTTTTGGTTAGTTTGCAAACTAGCTGCTATTATAGTAAAAATTGCGTTTTCTATCAAAATAGCCAAAGGGTTGGTTAGTTTGAAAACTATCCAGCTAGTTTACAAACTAGCCAAGTTTGCATATTAACCGTAACATATATAATTATCGGTTTATAAGGTTCTACATCTTCCGATTCCCAGTCTCCAACCATCTCTGTCAATCCATGCATCCTCCTCTAATTCTCTGTCTGTCATTTCTTTGTCTACTCCACTTCTCCAGCTTCTTCTTGGTCTGCCGCGTCTTCTTCTTCCCCTTGGCTTCCACTCAATAATTTGCTTGGGCTTTCTTGCATCTGCCATTCTTTGTACATCTCCGAACCAAATCAGCTGTTTATCCTTGTATATCATCTACAATTGTGTGTTTTACGTCCATAATCTCCCTTATTCTCAGATTTGTCGAGAGATTTGTTATCTAATAAAAGCCGATTCAATAAAAAAAAAAATAAAAAAAAAATAAAAGATTTGTTATCCTTTTCATTTTTGACCTGCCTGCTGCTCTCTTCGAAAATTCCATTTCAGTTGCTTCCAGCATTTTTGCGGTTCTGTTCTTTAGTGGTCAGGGCTGGGAGTCTGTAACGAATAGAGATATTTTCTCTATCTCTATTGACTTCCCCTCTATTGATTTCGAAAAGAGAGACAGCAAGTGCCATAGCGATAAGGATTACAATCTCTATCCGTTACAGAGTTCCAGCCCAGACTTCTGAACTATATGTGACTATGGTGTTGTATATTCTAGTTTTCCAATCTCTAATCGCCCCGTCTAGGGTTCCCTCATGTGAGATATTCATGCCTAAATATTTCTATTCAGTACATTGTTTTATTTCTTGTCCGTCATTCAATTTCAGAGTTCATTGTTCACCTCCTATAGTCATATATTCTGTATTAGTTAGATTTGCTTCCAAACCCCCA